GCAGAGTTCCACCACCCATTTGGTGACTAAAGCCATAGGCAAAGAGCCATTTGTTTTAGAACTAATCTTCACCTGTGCTGCAATGAACATTTGTCTGGTTTTGTACATCTGCAGCTACAGCTAGACAGAGCTGTGTGTCAAATTCATCACGAGCATCACCACTGACATCAGTCAGTGAAGTCTGGATCCTTTGGCTATCTGGTGAACTTTGTGGTAGGAGAATTTGTTCCTCCTGAGCCTTCCTTTCTTTGAGTGCTCTTTGTCAAAGCAAGCGTCTTTCCAAAAAAATTTCCAAATGAAGTTGATAGCTTTCTCCAGGCTGTTGGACATGTCTTGCTGCTTACTGTCATTAAAAGAAAGTCAGAGGTGTGCTTTGAAGGAGCGCAGCCTGGGGGGGAGGCTTTGTTCAACCCTAAAATGTCAGTGCAATGATGTACACACTATAAAGAGAGGAAGGAGGAAGGGAAAAAGAGACGGAAAAAGGGAAAAAGAGACGGAAAAAGGGAAAAAGAGACGGAAAAAGGGAAAAAGAGACGGAAAAAGGGAAAAAGAGACGGAAAAAGGGAAAAAGAGACGGAAAAAGGGAAAAAGAGACGGAAAAAGGGAAAAAGAGACGGAAAAAGGGAAAAAGAGACGGAAAAAGGGAAAAAGAGACGGAAAAAGGGAAAAAGAGACGGAAAAAGGGAAAAAGAGACGGAAAAAGGGAAAAAGAGACGGAAAAAGGGAAAAAGAGACGGAAAAAGGGAAAAAGAGACGGAAAAAGGGAAAAAGAGACGGAAAAAGGGAAAAAGAGACGGAAAAAGGGAAAAAGAGACGGAAAAAGGGAAAAAGAGACGGAAAAAGGGAAAAAGAGACGGAAAAAGGGAAAAAGAGACGGAAAAAGGGAAAAAGAGACGGAAAAAAAAAGAAAAAGAAGGAAAAAGAAAGAAGCTTTTTTTAAAGACTCAAGATCCAAACCTTGATTTTTGGTATGAATGGGAGGCTAAAACCATCTGCCTCTAAAATTTCTCTATTTAGCAACCAGGTGGTTTTGAGTTGACTGAGGCACACTGTCTGCTGTGGGTCAGACTTTCTGTGTGTACCATACAAAACCATGGTGCTGAGCTTGATTTTACACCGCTGAAGACAATAATGGAACCTTTACTTCAGTTTCTTGGGAGCTACATTTCATAGCATTCTCTAGCCTGAAACAAAAGCAAAATGAATGAACAAACACAGGCTCAGAAAAGACCAGGGAGCTCCTAGACACGCTAAGTTAAAAAAGTGTTGGCGCCAACATTGTTGAACACCCACTTTTGAGGCAGAAAACAGACCTTTCAAACTCTGTTCGCATGTCAAACTGCAAAGCACCTGGCAGTGCTGCTTAGAAAAGCACATTCAGAGAAAGCAATTTGTGGCTAGGTTTTAAATCCTAGGAAATTAACAGATTTGCACCTTTGGGTGAAAAAGCAGACCATGCGTGTTTGCTTCAGCTAGTAATTTGATCCATTTTTAATGGTGACATGCATTCGACTAGATTTCCTGCCTACAATCTGATCTGAAATATTTTTGGACTGTTACCATCGTTAAGGAAAATACTGAAACAGGAAACATTGGAATGCTGTTGATATTCACAATCAAGCACACAGTCCAAACAGCATTTCCTTTACCAGAAGTGTTTAAGTCCTTTCAATTCTCTACATTTACACTTCTCTTAAATAATCATTAGTACAGCCAAACATGAAGACATCTTAACCGCTTGGCTACCATTAAAAGAGAAGAGGGTTGCCTGTGTGCAGAACTCACACATAAAGAGTTTGTTTTGGTCCACAGAAGAGCACAAGAAGAAGACAAGCATAGCGCAATACTTCCCTAAAACACTCTCCCAGCCTCTGGCTACTTGCAGCTTAAGGGCTTTCTGCAGCAGAGATACTGCCATGGTACATAATATCCTTTACAGATTTGTCTTCCATTACTTCACCCAGTCTCCTCTTGAACTCACGTGCACTTTCGGCATTCACAGAAGTCACAAATAAGGTCTCCACTGTCACGACAGTGTTGACCCTTTGGTGGAACTGAAATACTCAATGCGACCTTGGACCCATGTCTAAAATCCCTCCTGGCACAACCTTGCTGCCACCCCGAATGCAGGTCAGAGACCATTTTGCACAGGTAATCATCTAAAATTAATCAAAATTTATGCTTTCACGAGACATCTCTATGATGGTGAGTAGAAAAAAGGACTGGAAGACTTCTCACTCCAGAAAACCTGGCACAGCTGGGCACATCCTCAGCACAAGCTGTGTGACACTCCAGCCCACGGAGCTGCTGCCATATCAGACCAGCTGTCCTTCCCAGCACAGCTCCTTGGTACAACCGATTCAGCTAACGAGCTACAACTGCAGAGCACAGGGACCAGACTCATGAGTTGGTGGTGTTGAAGTGCAAACTTTCGTTTTCATATTCAGCCAACTACTTACAGAGCTACTTTGACAGAGAAAAAACTTCCGGCTCTGACCTAATTGTATTGCCAGCCTTTCTCACTAACTACATGGTCAAGCCTTACTGACAGAGTTTGGCCCACCAAGGTTGAGGAAGCCCAAGCCATACCACTTGGCCAGGTGGCACTCATTTTCTCAAGTGCCTTCCACCTTCTCCACCTCCATAGCAATGCTCGTTTCTTCAGAGGAGGGCTGACCACTGATGGATAGTCTGCTTTCCTTATCCGTTTCCTCTACCCTAAGTTGAGCAGGACGATGAAGCATAGGCTTCAACTGTTTTAAAATGCCTTCTCTATCACCCCTCTAGGCCTCCTGTCAAGATCTTCCATTTTAAGGTCTTGGCCTTAGACTGCAAAGTAAAGAAGGGCTTCGGCCCCAGCAACAAAGACTACACAGCATTTCTGACCACCAAGTCCAGCCACATTTGGGACAACATAGTTACAGTGGCCCAGAAGGAGACAGCTGGATGCTTAGCATAAAATATTCTCTACAGACTACAACCAGGAAAGACCACATGATGCACACTACTGTCTTTTGGTATTAAAGAGCAGCTTTCTCGTTTGAGAAAGCCTCCTGCAGTATCATATTTTCCAATACAAACACATCCCTAGCAGCTATCAAGTCTCCAAACAAGTAAACAATGCTTCCCTTAGCAGAACTTTACTCCCAAAGAAGGAAGAGGACCAAAGACTTAGAAGTCCCCTTGAAACATCTAAAACTGATTTTACATAGAGCAATGGGTAGCAATATCAAACCCTAAAGTGGATAAGTATTCAGATCACTGTTTTCACATCTTTGCGGTCCTGACACTCTCCTTGGCCATCTTGTCAGCAGTTCTCATCGATCAGTACAGCTGCAGAAGCATCCAGCACACACTCATTGAAAGAGGGTCTTGAAAAAGAATTGGGCTGTGCTAACTCAAAGCCCCTGCATGGTTTTACACAGCTGCACAGCCAGCTAGAAACCTCGCCCTGGGCAGCTTCTACACCCAAGGCCAATGGAACAGGCATGGGGTAGCTATAAAGTTAACGACTTTGTAATTAACATTAGCAAACACATTTTACAGACTCAATGATCTGTAAGAGAGAGCTTGCCTGCAGGCTGAAAGAACCCTCCTCTCTCACAGCCAGAACCACATGGCACTGGTTTGCTAAGTCAAGCAGCCAGATATTTTGAAGAGGAAAAGGAGCAGCCCTTTGCAGGAAGATTACAGGCTGCCGAGTTAGAGGCCAGTATGAGAAACTCTGGGGCTAACAGGCTGCTGCAATACTCACCACCCATTCACACCACCTGCACCATGCTCTGTTCTTCCCTCTGTGAATTCCCTCAATTAATTGTCAGGCTTTTTTTGGCTAAGACTCATCGCCTCTTCCTGAACTGGGAAATGCCTGCTGAAATCCTGGCATTGTCCAAGCTATGGTAAAAGCCTTCGTTTATCGCAGAAAATCCCCGAACAACTGAACTACTGTGTCATTTAAGGCATGCTTTTGCACTCCTCCTGAAAGCACTTCCCCTGCATCTGCCATGAAGCTGATGGACAATCGCTCCAGTAGAAGGCACAGCCACAGGAAAGACTCACTCCAGAGCAACTAGAAATGCCATACTGCATCTACCATCTGACTTCAAGAGGTGCTGGCACCTACGACTACAATTCAAACTAAGAGGAAGGATAAATCCTCAGCACCCTTGGGGGAAAAAAAAACCCAACCAAACAAAACCCAACAAACAAAACAAACAGGCTCCAGTTCTTCTAAGAAGCAATGGGTCAATGCAAAGCAGATCTCTGCCTTTCCAGTCTCCATTTCTTCTCTGTACCAAGATGGCTCAAAACAAAGTGTGGCTGGGGAAAGGAATGAAGCTGCCCATCACTCTGCAGCTCAAGACAGCGGGAAGGCTGAAGCCAGTCCATACACTATACACTGGTGACAGAGATCACGACTCAGCTGTCACCTTCCTTTCATTTTCAGGACTCGGAGAGACTGACACCTGACAGGCACCTTGATGCACCCTGGGTCATCACTGTTTAGTACCGTCAGCGCTGTTTAATCAAGAGGCTCCAAAACGTGCAACCTTTCTGAGTCCGTGCATGGCAGAAACTAGGCAATTAATAGCTTGGACAACACACAACCATATATTTTAACTGCTAAATTAGTGCAAGAGGAAGAAAGGTTATCTTTGGTTGTACCTCCTCTGCTACGAGTGAAGTTTTCATGAGACCTGTCTTTGATTTCTTGCTGTCAGGAGCCACAGAAAAAGCTGACAGACTTTGCCACAAATGATCAGCCAATTTCTCACTGGGAAAATTGTTTTCATAAGGCCAAAGTGCAACAAATGCAAGCAGCATTAGGATTAAAGGCTGAAACACAGTTCCCTCTTGCTTTCCAGTGCCTGGCCAGACAAAGCACTAAGAGGTCAAATTAAACAAACCAGCCAGAGAGGTCTGCTGTCAAACCAAGACATAGCTGCTGCCCACCCCACATCCCTCCTTCTCCCCATCCCCAGTCTTGCTCAGCGACGTACCTGCTGACTGTCAGAGTCAGTTCATCTGTGCAACCCTTGATTTTGTTCTGCGCCTCAAGGTGCGTCATGTTATCTGTGTTCACTCCATCAATGGCTATGATCTGGTCTCCTATACACAAGTTGGCTATTGCAGCTTTGCTACCTGGAGTCACCTAAAAGAAAACAAAATCAGTGAATGCACTTTCCAAAGAGAAGCCTTCCGTAGCGACATCTGAAAAACAGTTGGAGCACTCAAGGCTTCTCTCACTGGTACCTGGAAGCAACGAGGTGAAAACTAACGGAAGTAAATTCTCAACAGGAATCTATCTCGGTCTGGATCTCTTCAATACTCCTCAGTATTAGACAGGATTCTGTTTTGGCACCCACACATAGAAATTTGGGGAGGAGAGAACAGGTAAGCCACAAAAATTGTATTTTCACTCAAGGCAATTGGCTTCATGCTAGAGAGTGAGAACATGCAGAAAGCAACTCTGGTCTTTGCTGGACAGAGAAGTGCTCTCCAAAACAGAAGGTGCTGAGGACAGCCAAGAAGTCTGAGCCTCTAAGAACAGAGGTGACAGCAAAGAGTTATCAAAGTCATTGCAACACAGTCTGCCAATCACAAACACCTTCATCTGCATCACAACGCAATTTGCTTCCTGCCTTGGAAGAAAGGTTCAGGCTCAAGATTTTTGAATTACTTGTAACAAACTGGTTTTACCCAGGAACAGCTACAACAGACACTCATTGACTTCAGTGAGATCAAACCCAAAGCAGTGCTTGATCTAACAAGCAGATTGGGAAAAAGGCATCAGAAACTTCATCTTTAAACCACATTCTGACAAGACTTCCTGAAAAAGTAGAAGCATCATCCCCAGCCTAACTACAGTTCACCTTGATATATTCTGCCATATTACATCTCCCTTTCCTCTCCACATATGCTGCTTTGCTTCGCAGATGTATCGCTGCATTGCTAAAGTGCTGTGCTCTGCCTGAGAAATGACTGATAGGAAGGAGCTCAGGGTAATCTCTGTGAGATCCCAGAGAGAAGACACTACGCAGCAACACCATTGGTATGATACTCTTCATGAGAAAGAAGGTCCCAACTAAAACTTGGCATTTTCAAGCAAATCTACTAGATGGCTCATTCATTTCTCCCTGCTTCTGCTAAAGAGATGTCCTCTTGACAACCAAGACCTCTTTGGGTCAAAATTATTGCCTGAGTGGATGGTGAAGAATGTCACATTTCTTTGTGGCTTTGCAAAGACTACATAAGATTTTGTGCAGTTTTAATGACTTTGTGGAATAAGCATAATGATTACTGTGGGCTTTCATCAATTATTTAATAGGCAGAGGAAATGAGCAGGGTGGACTGCTCCCAGACAGAGATTACAGATTAAAACATGCCTTGCAGCTGAGGCATACCTTGTTTATGAGTCCATTGCAACTGGTATTCATTCTACGCATTCATGCTAGGTTCCAGCATGCTGGAAAGCAGCTGAGCAAACTCAGCAGAGCTGTCAGACATAAATAAACATTGTTCACAAGATTTAGAGAGTCCTCCTAATGTGGAATTAGATGGCAAAATCATTCCCCAAGGGAAACGTTCACCTCCTAGAGGTGTCACACATCAGGTGCAATCACTGGTTTTCTTTTTTCACCTCTCTACTAAGTGAAAAAGGGAAGGATGCAAATGTATATCACAGATGTCCGAGGCTGGCCAAAGACCAACCGAATAGTGCCTATCTACCCACTCATCACTTTTCATGCTGCAAGCAGACTACAAGCTGACAGAGGAAACGCTAATGAAAAGACCAGACAAGCCACCAGATGGATATAGAAAATCTGCTTTAAATGTGAAGATCATTGCCTCCCAAGCTGCAGCCCGCAGCTGACCGGTGGCCTACTAAGACCACTGAGTACAGCCTGTTGCTGCTCCACTGGATCCAATGCCTTGAGAGTACCTTCATGTAAACCTTGTGACAGGCACAGCCTGCAGCCATGAAGAAATCTTGAGTGCTGAAAGTCGTCCACAGTCCTACCAGATTGGGAGCTGTTATTTCAGAAGCCATGAGGCAGATCCCTAAAGACATCGATACCCTGGAGGGAGCCTGCGGGAGACACATCATGGGTCCTCACCTGGTCGCTGGGCCTTAACCAAGTCACTCGGTTTCTTGGTGCCTTTATTTCCTCTGCTACCAAAGGAGGGAGAGGGGCATATTACTCACCCCTGTGAGGAGCACCGAGCTCAGCACACTATTACCATGATTCATTTTCGATCAGACTAGACTGCCAAGGGGTCAAGAATAACTGTGGATTAATATGGCCACTGGAACACTGCCAGAGGCTCAGCCATACAGCCTGCAGTCTTTAAATGACTGATAATCTACCCAACATGTGGCAGGCTGCTAGAAATGATCTTGCAGCACAAGGAGCAGCTAAGCTGGAGCAGCCAGGGACACTGAAATACTGAATCCTCCAGAATAAACCCCAAGAGCCACTGCGATGAACGAGTGGCATCCGCAGTAACATCTCAGCGCGCTTTGCCAGCGCTTGCGGTGTCCCTTCCCCTTCTGTGTCCACTTCAGAGGAATGTGAAACATGAGTGCTCTTCTCCATCAGATAAGAGCCACTGGTAGCACAAGGGCGATTACATCCACTCAGGTACCATACAAACCTCTCCCCTAAGGGGAAGCTACAAGGATGCACAGTAATAAAAAAGATAAGTGAATTTGCCAAAAGGAAACGTTTTAAAATCCAGTTTCTTCAGTTCTGGAAATAACTTGCCTTGAAATGCAATCTTCCACCAACTGCTCCCCTGCAACACCCAGCTTGTACTCCCTGCCAGGATTGCTCACAGCAAACATGTTTGCACAAGGGCAGGGAACCCATCCCCCATCCTTTTAGGATGATTAATAGCTACTAATAACGTTCCCTTCCCCCCTCGCAGGAAGGTCTGGGCTTATCTCAGCGCTGTCAACACTGCTTTTGACATTTGCTCACCTAGCAGTTATAGTCAGGAAAGCAAAAAGTGTTTCTGTTATTAAGTGAGGAGCAGAGAGCTGCCACTGGGAAGACCTTTTCCTGCTTTTATTTTTGTCACATCCCTCCCTGGCCCACAGGGAGCAGCACGGGCAGGCGTGTGGCTGGGGGGACAGGCAGAGGCACTCCGGGCACTGTCAGCAACCAGCCAGCTTACACAGCCCAACCAGAAGGACTCCAAAAATTAACAAAAGCTTTCGGGCTCACAGGCATCCATTAAACGTTGCACCGTCTGAAACTGCTTTGCTTCTGCTCTCCCTCTAGATGATTTAACACCAGCCTCTCTCCTTTCCCTCCCCTCCTGACCGAGTGTGGAGTAGACACCAGCAGGAGTCGTGGGGATGGCAGGCAGTGTGCCTTGCACACCTTGCACAGGTGGGTGACCTAATACGAGCAGATACAGCTGCATTTCTGCATGGGAAGGCAAAGAAGGCTGAAAGACACTGCGGGGAACAAAACCTGCCAACACAACCTTGCACAAGTTACGTCTCGTGCAAAGGCATAGCCTCTTGTCTCCTTCAAAAGAGCTCCCTGACTGGCTTGGGCTTCCCCCATCAGGGTCAAGCAGCCCCTGGCAGAGGGGACATGGGCAGCATCATAGGGCTCCAGGAGTCCATCAGCTCCAGGGACGTTATCATGGAGTGAATAAAGCTCTGCACACCTGGTAACATCGTGCCTGAGGGCTCCTTTGGAAAGGAGCCACATCCTACCTTGTGGTGATTGGAGAGCTGAGGAGAAGGACTTGGGAGTACTGGTGGATGAGAAGCTCAATATGAGCTGGCAATGTGCTCTTGCGGCCCAGAAAGCCAACCACATCTTGGGCTGCATCAAGAGGAGCGTGGCCAGCAGGTCGAGAGAGGTGATTCTCCCCCTCTACTCTGCCCTCGTGAGACCTCACTTGGAGTATTGCGTCCAGTTCTGGAGCCCCCAACACAAGAAGGACATGGACCAGCTGGAGAGGGTCCAGAGGAGGGCCACGAAGATGATAAGAGGGCTGGAGCACCTTTCCTATGAGGACAGGCTGAAAGAGTTGGGGCTGTTCAGCCTGGAGAAGAGGAGGCTCCGGGGTGACCTGATAGCGGTCTTCCAGTACCTCAAGGGGGCCTACAAGAAAGATGGGGAGAGGCTGTTCAGGAGGGCCTGTTGTGATAGGACAAGGGGTAATGGTTTTAAAATAGAGGGAGGTAGATTCAGGTTGGATATTAGGAAAAAATTTTTTACCATGAGAGTTGTAGAACACTGGAACAGGTTGCCCAGAGAGGTGGTGGATGCTCCATCCCTGGAGACATTCAAGGCCAGGTTGGACGAGGCCCTGAGCAACCTGATCTAGTTGGAGATATCCCTGTTTGTTGCAGGGGGGTTGGACTAGATGACCTTTGAAGGTCCCTTCCAGCCCTAACCATTCTATGATTCTATGATTGCTCCCAGGCGAATGTGTAACACTTTGACCCTAGGTCCTTTCACTGTTGAACAAACAGTGCTGAGAGAGGCTGAGCAGCACTGCTTCATACTGTATCCAAAATAGGTCCCAGAGCTCACCAGAGCGTGCCTATGGTGATGCTCTCTTCGGCTGGCATCTCTGAGTAAGAAATCTGGGCTACTGCAGAAATAACCTACGTGCTTATAACCAGACACATTAAACTAGGTCCCTGATACCAGCTCAGACACATTTCCCAGCATATTGAAGAAACAAATAATCCCCGTAATCCGTGGGCTTGAGCATTCACTCTTTACTCATGCAAAGCTCAGTGTACTAGATAACGGCTTAGACCAGTTATAGGCTTGGACCCCTCTTTTTGAGGTCACACAGATTCAGGGTTGGTATGGATAGAAGAAAAACATACATTACTTTCTTATATCATACAGTGAAGTTTTGTGTACATATGCACGTGTGAGTGCCGAGTTTTATTTTTTTATATATATATACATATATATATAAAACAAAACTCTGCAATCATGAAGAGGGTAGGAAAACTATCTGTCCTCCTCACCTTCCCTGCACATATACTTTGGGCTCCACCTTGTCAACACCACCGGGACTTTGCAACGTTCAGAGTTGTCTCCCAGGCGGTTGCCTGCAGTCAGCCCCTTGCGCTGGCAGTCAGGCAGCAAACGAAGGACTCTG